TGTGTGTGTGTGTATATATATATATATATATATATATATATATATATACACACACACACATACAATTTTTTTTTCCCTTAAAACTATTCAGGATATTGAAACTTTAAAATTAACAGCATTTAAGATTATGGTACCCAATTTCATTATTAAGTTTTTTAATTCAACTGAAAAATCTGTTTAGAATTTTTTTAAATCATGTTATGTGTCATTACATCAAACAAGTGCCTACATGTAAGGCCATGTAAAAAAATTAGTGGATATAACTGTGTTCCAATCTTTGCACAAAGACAGTTATAAAAAACTACCTTATCAGTATCCTTTTGAATGCATTCAAACACTTGTACTATTAAGAGAAATGATTCAACAACTTCGTGAAATTTTTGTCATGCTTTTTGCAGTAGTCATTTATCTTTGTGTTTAAATAAGCTTACTTAAGGTTAACAAATTTTTTTATACCTGCAAAGCTTTTAAGTAAACCTAGATATTCAATTTAAACATCTTCCATTTAATAATTCTCATTCTAAGGTTTAAAAAAGTTTCATTTGGAGCTTGAATTACTTATTGTTCAGTTCTCATTTATTTAATTTTTATGGCTGGAGAAATTTAGGGGATTTTGTTTTGAAGTTTTTTACAAAGCACGAAATAACAATGAATAAAAGTCATATCGTTTTTAGGCCTAATTTCAGTCCATAATGCTTAGAACTTAAGGTGTGCAATTTTACATTGCAAACGTTATTTGTCATTACATTTTATTAAGAAAAAAAAAGTATTATTCCAATTTAATTATCATATTCTTGTGTATCCCATAGTTAGAATGATTATGATATAAATCAGTGTATATTTATCTAATGATGACAAGCTAATCAGTAAAGTTTTTTTAAGTTATTTGATTTGACTCGGTGTTAATAGGTTTGTTTCTTTTTTAGACACAAAACAAAAGAAGATTTTGCTGCTGATGTGCGCCTGATTTTTGATAACTGTGAAACTTTTAATGAAGATGAATCTCCCGTGGGAAGGGCTGGTCACAATATGAGGGCATATTTTGAAACCCGGTGGGCAGAACTTAATTCGACCTGACCTCAACTGTGGTTACAAGTGTTGCCATTAACAAAATACTTTCTTCCACCAAGTGGAGTCGCTTTCATGTTCTTTGAGTGCAGAAGTGCCTGGAAGCTGCGAGATCATTATGTGTACATCAGGTGACACCAGTTGTGCTTCGTAAATCTGTGTGTTATGAAATTTTATGCAAGTCAGTCTGATTACTTAGCTGTTCTGTGTATGTGTAAACAGTTACTTATATCCCGTTCTCAACGCACACACCAGGAATATAGCTCGTCGAGTTTCCTTGTTCCATTTCCAACATACTTTGATAGTGCCACCTAGTGGTTGTTTATGCATATTAAAGCACTATTACTGGTGTGTTAAAGGTAAAGCACTGCTTGGCAGTGAAAATGATGCATCTATACTCAGTACCTCACTTTTCCTGTATCTCTGAAAAACGTATATCATCAGGTCTCTTGTTTCTCCAAGTAAGCTATGACCAGTGGTATTTTACTATCCAAGTAAATGTTTTGTTTGTGATTTTTTTTTCTATTACTTTACAGTGTTAAGTCCTAAACGAGTCCAATAACAAGCCCTAGTGTACTTGGAAACTTTTTAGAAGATTTTTCTTTTCTTCACCATCTGTCACAGCAGGAAATATTTCTGATCTTGTAGAATATAAAGATTTTGGACCTATTTTTGTATAAAACATGTCAAATGAATGCCACGTCAGTTTAAGGACATCCCCTTTGAATAGTAATAATTGTCAAGGGTGAAACTACCTAGTTTCTGGAACATCTAAGTTGGTCATCTTTGTGAAGTTTTTACACCACAACAGTGGGTGCGGTGAATCAAACCAATGAGTACAGGGGACAACAATGCACAGGTGACTCTTTTTTTTTTCCTCTTTCTTGTGCATCTGGTTAGTTTGTAGTGTTGTGTTACTTATCCAATGTATTGTGAAAAAAAAGTGTGTGTTTGTGTATAGAGAAGTATTGGTATTTGGTAATTTTTATGTTGTATATAGTGTCTAGCTTCCTGGGGGTATTTGCTATGTTATTAAACCTTGCTGAATTTATTTATTAGTATTTCATATGTCATCCTATCATTGTTTGAGAGGTTGTTTACAGATCAAGCATATTGAACAATGTGACAAATGTGTAATATAATCATTGTTTTCTAACAATGCATCAAGTGGTCATATAAGATGCCCATTATTCCTCCAAATAAGAGGGATTATTACCATTATTTAGATCACCAAATTCTAATTTTGTAGAACACATCTTTTGCCATTGGACTGTGTTACAGTTATTGCAAGTCTTACTGGTATCTCTCTATTACATTATGTTTTTTTTAATGCTATTTTTTGTTTTGTTAAAGTAACATTTTTTGTTTATCAGGTGGTTGAAGGAATTCTTTGCTTTACACTATTATTGTCAGTCAATATTACATAGTATTTGAATAGAAAGTTAATTTTTTTGTACAACCTGATGTCAAGCATTTTTCAAATTAGTACAAAGATGTGTTTGACCACTAGCCTATTTGACCCCTCTCTAGTTGGACTGTGAGTATTGCTAGTGAATTACTCTGTTGCTACTTGCACTAGCTATGAATTAGTGTACTTTTGCTATGATCAGGCCCTGAAAAAAATATTTCATAGCAACTGATTAAGTTTAACGGGTCCAATGTTTACTGTATTGGTGGATCTAATCTTCTCTCTCTTGGTTGAACCTGTAGATATAGTGGAAGAAATCCCATTTTGTTAGTGGTATTACAGCATATATAACACATGTACTGTCTAAGAAAAAGTTTCCCAATATCAGTTAATTTTACGTAACTTAGTGAAACATTCAGAACTACTTCCTAAGCTAAGCCAATTGTTTCTTCTTAAAATAATTTAAATAAAGATAATTTTTTTAGAACAGGGTAAAATTGTTAATTTGTAATTTTTATTTAATAAAAAGTACAACTTAAAACAAGTATCTTTTGTGAAAACCTTATCAAACTGTGTTCGTTTGTAGATCTTTAGATTTTTTTATTTTATGTTTTTATTATATTTTTTAATATTTTTGAGTTAAAACTGAAAACAAGAACATATATTTATTGTCAGTTTTGTTGTAGCTGTTGATTATGAACAAAGAAATAAAAAAGAATTTACACACGCAACAAGCTATTGTACTTTACATTTGCTTAAATTAATGAAACTGGAAGTTAAACTTTCATATTTTAACAATGAATTAAAACATTTGGAGTCATTTTCAAGATCTGCAGTCGTAAGAACTTTAAAACGATTAATTTAAATGAATATGTATAATTAATGAATGCTATATTTTTCATAGCTACAAATTCAGGTATGTTTCTTACCAAGAAAGTAATATAATTGACAAGGAAAGTTATCACGCATTAAAACTTGATCAAATCTCTTAAAGTTCGGGTACATAAAGTGCATTCAGTATTACAGGATATCAGTGTAGTTTTTACATTAATTTTATTTAAGTGTTTGTAGTAAAATGTTAATGAGTTGTTAATGTTTTTCATATGCATTTAATAAAATAAAATATCAGCTAAGTGGTTACTGTAGTTCCTAATAAAGGTGTCAACGCTTTATTTAAGGGTAAGCCTTTAGAAATTTAGTAATTATACAACAAAAGAAATCTTGCTAACCGCCATACCAGAGAAAATTATCCAATTAAATTGACTAGTTTTCATGATGTAATTTTATGAAAGTTACTCTCATAACACATAATTTCTTGACTTGTAACATGTTCAATAAAACAGAACCATAGATGTGAACAAAACTTAAACCAACGGTCATTTGAAGGTATCTTGCTTGTTATATGAAAAATTTATAAATATATTCATTTGCAGGTTTATCTAGATTTCTAGAGAAATAGTAATATACTGAAAAACTTTTAATTTGTCAGTAATTTTAAGAGAAAACTTTCTGTTAATTTAAATTTTGTTTTACTTAGGAAGGGTGCAAGTAATAACTGTTTACATATTTTCAGAGGAGCTCAACTTTTGTTTATCAGTTGTTTTTTTTTTGTAATGAAAATAGTTTGTTTGATCATTAATATAGATCACATCATGTACCTGAATAAAACAAGTTTACCCTACATAAATTCTGCAGATTTAAAAGTGTACAATAAAACTGTTTCATAGTCTGTTTTGCCCTCAAGTTTTATTACTATTACAACCTCGAAAGTTTGGGTTATATTTCACTGTTAATAGTAATAAATTCTGCAGATTTAAAGTGTTACAATAAAACTATTTCGTAGTCTGTTTTGCTCTCCAGTTTTATTACTATTACAACCACAAAAGTTTGGGTTATATTTCACTGCTAATAGTAATAAATGCTCCAGATTTAAAGTGTCACAATAAAACTGTTTTGTAGTCTGTTTTGCTCTGCAGTTTGATTACTTTTACAACCACAAAAGTTTGGGTTATATTTCACTGCTAATGGTAATAAGTCATTGCTCTTTTTTTCATTATTAGTTGCAAAACTTTATAAAAACGTTTTTTGCAATAAAGACAGAATATTTCATTTTGTTGAATAAAATTACAATTCAGAAATGCTTTTTAGTGAAAACCTTGAGGTATATGAATGTTTTAAAATAAAACTGATGTGCAATAATAATTACTTGTTACATTTTGTGTGTAAAACATTATTTTACTAAAATGCATTATTTCTCTCACTTTAGTAAACACGCAAAGTTTACAGATCCTTGCAACAGAGGCAATAACTTTCCAAAACTTATATGTAAAAAAAGATAGCCCTTTGTGTAGCTTTGTGCTTAACTACAAACAAATCATTCCTGGGCACAGATATAATGTAATAATGTAAATTTCCATGCAAAAATGCTTAAAAACATAACACTGAGATACCTAATTGTGGTTAACAAAACTACTACTCAAACAAAGCAATTAGTAAGACCAGAAATCTGTTGAAATTATGCTCCTAATTTAGGCATGTGTTGATATATTATTAAATGATAATTCAACTACTTCAATCCTTATGGAAATAAGGGAGAAGAAAACAATTACAGATTTTGAACTACAAAGATATATAAATTACCTTTCATGTTATATTTCTTATTTTAATATACCTTTAATTACTAGTAATCTACTCTTTTTTTTCACAAGGTGGTTAAACATTAAGACTTCGAGCATAGATGTGAGAAATGTTTTAAAAAAAATTTTTTTTTTTTCCTGTTCAAGTAAATCACAATATTCAAAAATCAAAAGAAGCCTTTTATTTTTTATTCTAAATAAACTGATAACAAAATACGTTACATTACATGCAAAGAATTAAACTACACAACCAAGTAGATTTTAATATAACCAACTTAGTTTGGGAACTCGTACATCCCCAATTAAAATTTTTAGTACACATGAATCTAAGGAAAACATAAAGTAATTAGTAGAAATATATTTAGTCAATCTTAAGTTTGATTTCCACAAATGAAACAATAGCACAGCGAAACTTTACAAATTAACAGTATTATAATAGATTTAAAAAAAACTTAATCATACATATAGTTCACAAAAAATGAGAGCAAAAATAAGTGTAGGATTTTTTTTAATTGGTGCATATTTATAATTATTGCTTTTCTCAGAAATGTCATGTACTAGCAATTAATAAGTAACATCACACTTAATTCATGTTCTTTGCTAGATCTTCCCTTCGGTTGTATATATATATATACACACACACACACTTTTGAACAAAAAATAAAGCATAGAAAATAACTAAACATAATTTATCTATTCATATCAACAATGTTTACAATCTGTATTGTATAAGACTTAGCAAAAGATAACGGAACATTAATCTCGAGAGAATAAGTAATAAACCTATAAACAAAATAATAGGTGTGTCTTTGTCTTCCAGTTTTAATTGTCAATCTCACCAGTTCAAAAGCGAGAGTAAATTAAATAGGCTCAGTTGCTTTGCTTTACATTTTTTTGAGCCATAGCTTAAATTGCTTTCTAAGTAGGACCACGATTATATAGTTTAACAAGTTCTAACATCAAAAGAAGAAAACTGTTTTTTTTTTTAAACTATATATATATATAAATGAATTCTAGTGTAAACAAGTTCAAAATAATTGTCATCATTCATTTAGGGTTAAAATACCATTTTGATATTTTAATAGAAATGTTGTGCTTATTTTTATACATATATCAAATGTCACTGACATCTGCTGCCAAAAAAAACATATTTAAACTCCTGTATTTAATGCAAGATATCTTTTTTGAATAAAAAAGTTTTAACACAAAATTCTTCTCACAATAAAAATGACCTGTTTACAGTAGCACTTATCAGAATTAGAGAATCTATGGCTTTCCTTTGAGATTCATATAAAAAAAGTGTATTTTTCATTACAAGTGATTTTAATTATTTATATATCAAAATTTGAAGTTTTAAAGCAATTGCATAAACAACATTCTTAAAAGATCATTTATAACAATAACAGTTTTGATATATTTCATCGTTATCTTCCATCCACAAGATACTAATTTAGATCCATGTTATTATAGTAACAAGAATGTAAAATGACAAGTAATGATGGGTTTGAGGGAGCTGGCATATAGAGATTAATTAAGTGCAGGTTTATTAGTTTACAAGCTCAACATAGTTTGCTGGGAGCATGCCAGTCTGTCCTGTACGTTCCACTGTACCCGTCATCCATCCTTCATCAATGGGAGTACAGTTGACAATTAGGTCTCCATCCATAAACGTAACTTCATCAACATCTGATGCCGTGTAATCATATATGGCTCGGAAAGACCACTTTATAAAATGATAGAGAGAAAAGTACTGAATATTAATTTTTCTTCCATACCTATAGTACGTACTAACACTAATACTTATGTATTCAGTATACCTTCATCCCATGGTAATGACTTCGACTAAGACACAGTGCTAAGTCCAGAGTACAATGGTTTTTTATATTTTTGTAGTGCTTTCCTAGCTTTCACTATGTTAACATATTGAATGTTCAGCTGCTTCCGTGTCTAGTAAATTACACCGCATTCCCTACGCTTATAAAACATTATTAAATATTGTAGTAAGTTACACCACTCTCTCATTCCCTGAACTGAAAAAAACAATAAATTACAACATTTTCTATTTACTGAACTGAAAAACTCTACAAAACCGCTAATGAATAGTGTAGTAAGCTACAAAACTTTCTCTACTGAACTGAAAAACAGTATAAAATAGATAATGAACAGTGTAATAAATTACTCAACTTTCTCTTCTGAACTAAAAAACAGTGGTAATAAATTACACAACTTTCTCTTCTGAACTGAAAAACAGTATAAAATAGATAATGAACAGTGTAATAAATTACTCAACTTTCTCTTCTGAACTGAAAAACAGTACAATGAACAGTGTAATAAATTACATAACTTTTTCTTAATCATTCCCTGAAATGAAAAACCTTATAAAACAGATAGTTATTTTATTAGAAGTTTAATTAAGAAGGAAATAGAGAAATTCATTGTGCAATATAAAATATTTTCTGGTTCTCTGAATAAAGCACAGAACAAATGTCCATTAAAAATAAATGTATTTTTAATAAATCTTAAAGCAATATACCCCATCATTTTAGTTTTAAGTAAAAGGCATACTTTGTCCCTTTTTTTTTCTTCATAATAAAATTGGAGCAAGCTTTAAATTTTTACCTTTTAAAATCTTTTTTTACACATTGGTCAGGATTAGTGTGGTAATGTAAGTTTATATGTGTTTACATAATTTACAGTAATAAATTTAATTAGTTCAATATGTATTTTAGTTATTTATAGTATTATATAGATTTAATATATAATATTAAATTTCTTAAATTGTAATTACTACATTGGCCAAATGTGACAGGCATTTATAACTTATGAAATGCAAATGTACAACATGCTAAAGTTAACCAAATAACAAAACTTATGTGCACCATTATATACCAACCAATGAAACTGCAAGTTGCTAAGTACAGTGTATCACATGGTTGAACATTAAAAATTGCTTCGTTCAATGGTTACAAGACACTTGTAGTTATCAAACCAATAATGTTTTGCCATACTTCAGAAGAATACAACATTCAAAGAGTATATCGAGTGGTGTGAAGCTGCTAAGGCCGTTTCTGTTGTTACATAACACAAATTCAAATTGTAGAAATAACCCAACACACTCCAACAGATTGTAGTGTCCAAAGGTTTAACACCAAAGACTGAAGCAGGCAATGTGGCTTTGGACTTTCCACGGTAGTGTACAGTATCATACACAAAAACAATCAACCCGAGGATGTTAGAGGGATGGTCTTCTCAATACAAAGAAATGGTCCTGCCATGCTTCAAGTAAGGGTTACTCTCTCGCCTGATTCAGCATGACAGTCACAGTGACCCACCTATGTCATGGAAAAACACAAGAATAATGGAAAACTGTGCCCATGCAGCACTAGTATTGTGGTTCCTAAGATTCAAACATTACAAGCAACTCAAGCTCACATGACCAAACTGTATCCGTGAAGTGAAGTGTTTAGGATACTACAAAAATCAACAATAACATTTCTGATGAATTGCACAGTGAGTGAAGGTAGAATGTGGAGTACATAAAGTGTGACTGTTGTTATCGGCAATCATTTTCTCTTATTTCTGTGGTTTTCAACATTTGCACAGTCAGTGAGCCAGCAATATCGACATCTTATATACTAAAATGATTTGGAAGCCTTACCACATTCTTACAGCCCTCATTCAGCCATGCTCCACCTGATGGCCATGCATGTTGACAATAACCCTGCAACGTAATTTCCTTTGTAAAAGGCTCTGTCATACAGCTTTCACAATCCAAAGCAACCCACTCCTCCCTGCTGGTTTTCTATAATCCATCTAGTGTACAAGGTTGATGGTTCTCCAATGCCCGTTTCAACAGTCTGGTAACACAGAAATCCATAGTCATTACATCTGGCAACCTAATTGGTATATCTTTGTATGGAATACCATGAATAACTTTCATTCCCAAGCTGCTTGGGGTATGCGACTATTGTACAGACATGTCATGAAATAAATTTGTTTATCCATAGCTTGTACAGATTTTCAAAGCAAAGATCCTTCTTGATTAAGTTGCATACTGTTGCCTGGGGTACTTGGACAGCTTTTGTCACTGACTGTTGTGTTTGTGGTATCTCACCTGTTACAAGATGCTGCATTATGCATATCACAGCTGAAACTTGTTGCTGGTCCCTTTCTGGGTGGTCCTGGTTCTTCAATTTGATCCATATTCCTTTGTTTTCTAACATCGTTAACTACAAGGGATACTCCCATCTTAGAAATTCTAAATCCCCAATCTAAACACATCTTTATGATCTGAGTGTATGAATATTTTGTGCCGTAAAGAACTGTTACATATCTTTCCCAACAGCAAAATGTTTTTTGTGACATTACATTATCTACAAAATTCCAAACAATGTCAAGATGTAGTTAAGATACATTCCAATCCACCTCATCTTCATGTCAGCTGTGCTTGTCATGTGACTTGTTGATTTGCATATTCAAAATTGCTATGAAATAATGTACTCAACCTTCTGTATACTTACAAAAAACAAAGAGTGGGTAATATCACCATCTTGACCCTTGTCCTTTGACTTTTGTTTACTTAAAAAGTTACTGATTACCTTTAATTTAACGTGTTACTATTGTCGAAATAAAAAGAAACATATACGTCACATCATCTTCAAATAGACAATACAGTAGAAAACATAACACACTACTTACCCCAAGCGACTTTTGTGAAGGTGGGGCACCTGCAAAAATTAAACAAGATCAAATTATCAATTACGCTTCAAAAAAGTCACTTTTTCAAACTCTTGTATTAAAATATCAGGAAAAACGAACATTCTTGAATTTAATTCTGTAGTAAATTATCGATTACAAAACCTTACAACAGCATAACCTCCATTTTCTGATTTTTCACATTTATATTACTATAAAGTGGTTCGCATTTTTCAATACTAAAAACAATGACGAAGCTAATGATGTGATGAAGTATCTTCCTCTTTTGCTTGAAGAACTCTGTAGGAGTACATATCTAGATAGTAGCATCTTCAAAAAACCTGAAAAAGAACTGGAAATATATATATCCCCAACCCCAATAAATAAGTAAAAAACTAAGCCAATATTCCAAAAACATTTCACCAGATATTGGTAAACACTGTATAAAAAAGAACCAAGTTTGTTTCAAACTTTAGAGAAACCATACATTAAGCCAAATAAACTTACTCTGTCAACATAAAACAAAGTTAAAAAACAAAATTACAAATGCAATGAAATCAGTGAGCTAAAGAAAGATAATGCTACTAACCACCAGAATAATTGGTTGTGTTTGACCGGAAGCCTGAAGCTCCAGAATCATAGTTTTCATTCAGAGGATCATAGTCAGCAATTGATCCAATCTTCCGTGAAGGTACACACTGTACTAGGGTGGGAATTTAAAAAGTCAATAATCTCACATAGTGTAAAATGGTGGTATTTGAACATTTCTCATTAACAAGAGTTGAAAATAAATGGAAACACTGGTAAAAAAAAATTAACAATTCTGCTGTATAATCATGAGCCTTCACCAAATCATGAATTCTACTTGGAAATGAAGCACAGTATACATTAGATCTTTCCCAAAGGAACAAATGCCTGAAAATTAAGTATAGCAGAGATACATAGCCCTTATAACACAGACACAGTTACTCGTCTATACTAGCATGCCACTGGCTGTGTCATGTAGACACGAGAGTAATGGAGTCATGCAGCACTATTAGTGTGGTTTCTAGGACTCAAATGTTACAAGGAACATTAGCTCATGTGACCAAACTGCACATGTGAAGGATGCTATGAAAATCATCAATAACACTTCTGATGAATAACACAATGAATGAAAGTAGAATGTGAAGTGTGCATGGTATATAAATGGTGACTATTGTTATGGGCAAGTTATAGAAAACATTATAAACAATTTTCTCTTATTTTTGTGGGATAATATTACCACAATCAAAGAATATGGCCACCTTTATACAGAGGGTTGAGTACATATAGAGTATGTTTGATAATAGTAGCATTGATGGGGTTTAGTAACAGAGTACGTTTGATAATAGTATGATTGATGGGGTTTAGTAACAGAGTACGTTTAATAATAGTATGATTGATGGATTTCACTAATAGAACTAGCATGTGTGACAACAGTATGACTGATGAAGTTTACCAACAGAGCCAGCATGATTAATAGTATGATTGATGTATTTTACCAACAGAGCCATAATGTTTAACAATAGTAAGACTGATGGAATTTTTTGAATATTTCCTTGATTTGATAGAATGAAAAGTAAAAACATTAAACATACATGAGAAATAAAACACATGAATCTTATACTTGTATTATCCAGGTACTATAAGAGCGTCAAAATTTTGTAAAGCTTGTCATAAACCTGGATAAAGCAAAAGTATAGAACATGTATTGCTATCATTATTGCATAGTCCTAGAAATTAATTTTCACTAAAAACATATCAGTACTATTGTTGTACTGATATGAAATAGTTTTTAAGTCTAAACACCATTTTGAGTATATCAGTAACGAAACAAGTCACTTGAGGGGTTTGAATACCTGGACCTTCTTCTGAAGTATAGATAACAGTTGACTGAAGTTTGGAAGAGTATGGGGAATCTTTGACTTCTCGTTTTATAGAGGTTTCATGGGCCACATTTCGTGGAAGTGGTGGCTGGCTTCTCTCTGGAGGAAGGGCACTTGAGACTAGATATCAAACGTACAGGCATAAAATAAACACATTAGCAATCAGATATTAATTCATTAATGTTAAATTAACAAGTGCATGCCATTTGAGAAAAAGGTACAGGGCACTAGCACAACACAGCAAACTTGTATTAAGTCTGGTTAGAGATTTTAAATCTACCGGTGTATAGTAATTTCATTTTAAGAATAATTGCTACTACCAACCTGGTGGCTCCTACAGACGTACTGACCTATCCACCTGACTACCATATCTTATGGACTCTTTAGAGAATTCACTTACAACTTCACTTGTTTTTTACATTTACATTATTTCAAGATAACTTTCAATGAGCAGGATCTTAACATCCATGCAAGTTAATGAGATCAAGCACTTGAAGCTACATATTCACACAAAAAATAAGTTAATATGAATAGTCATTTTTGTAAAAATTATAAACTAATGAACTCTAAACGGTGCTCTTCTGTTTTAACAAAATATACGTATAAAACAACACATGCAATATTGATTACAAAGAGAGAATCTATGGCTGTGATATTACGTGAAGCTTTCATATCACCTGGAGGAGCACCATTTTTTTCGGGCACCAAGTGGCGTTTTTGTTCCATTTCTTCCTTTTTCATGAGTTCTCCATGATAAGCTACATTGCTGATAATTTTGTGAGTATTACGGATTCGAAGAGTTTCAGGATCGTCAGCCACTTGCGTGAACTTTCCTTTCTGCTTTTCAAATTCTTCATGATACTTAATCTGCAGATATTTGAGAAAGAATGATTTTTTATCGATAAGTAAAAAAAAAAACAACGGATAAAAAACAACCATCCAACCCGACTTGTAGTATCTTCCTTCAACACAATGTATATATGTATACTGTGTGCTTGTCTATTTCCATAACATAATATACTTGTATAAAATATCTAAGAAAAAATACCATCCTTCATATCAGAGCATACTTTTTTTCAAGTTGAAGAACTGTTCTATCTTTCTTAAGAGAGACTGACAAAATATGCCAATCGTCAAAGCTAATTTGGCTGAAGACTGCCTGGAGTGGTCACCTGTTTTAACCACTTGCTCCACTACACAGTAGTGTATTGTCCGTCAGTAGATAATAAAATAACATCACATACTTAACATTGCAATTTGTACTGTCGTGACATCAGTAAAACATGCGCATGCCATGAATCACGAGAAGAATTATGCACTCTGTAGGCTACAACACAGCATGACATACAAATTTCAAAAGCAAAAAATAAAAAATATTTTTTACTCTTGATTTTGGTTTTACTTACTTTTGAAACAGAACACTTTCGGGGACCCTGCGCAAGTTCATCTGTTTTATCACCTTATTGTATTATGGCTAATGTTTCATATTTTATGTGATCAAACTTTTTTTTCTGCTAATAAGTATAGATTTCTTTAATAATAGCTCTAAGAGATTAGCTTGAATACATCTATCTGATGATACCATTTTGAAGTCTTATTACTTTTATTTTAGAGAAATTATCCTTTAAAAGGAAAATAGAAAAATACTTTTATAATGTAAATATGTATAAAATCCAAAATCCAATCACTTATTACTACAAAAGCTGCATCAGCTTGAACTACTTACACCACCAGAAATAGTTGAGCTTTAAAATTAATAAAACTATCTTATTTGAAGTTCTAAGGTTTTAAAGTGAAATATAAAATTTTACAATTAGGGCTAGCTTAAATAAATTAAACAATATGGAGCTTGATCATTTCTAACATCAATCAAAAATAAATACAAATCAAGTACTTGTTTATTTATGGTAATTAATGTATAATATATGCTGTGTGAATAGAGAATTAAAATTTATACGTGTGTTAGCTATGTCAGCATGCATATCAAACACCAAGTTTGTCTGCAGATTAACCATGAGCAGTGCATATAGAATGTAGTTTGTCTACAACTCAATCATGTCCAGCGTGCATATCAAATGTAGTTTGTCTATAAGTTAATCATGTGCAGCATGAATAGAGAACATAAAGTCTGTCAACAAGTTAATCATATGCAGCATGAACAGAGAACATAAAGTCTGTCTACAATTTAATCATGTGCAACATGAATAGAGAACATAAAGTCTGTCTACAATTTAATCATGTGCAACATGAATAGAGAACATAAAGTCTGTCTACAAGTTAATAATGTGCAGCATGAATAGAGAACATAAAGTCTGTCTACAAGTTAATCATATGCAACATGAATAGAGAACAAAGTCTGTCTACAAGTTAATCATGTGAAGCATGAATAGAGAATATAAAGTCTGTCTACAAGTTAATCATGCGCAACATGAATAAAGAACATAATCTGTCTATCAGTTAATCATGTACAGCATGAATAGAGAACAAAGTGTCTACACGTTAATCATGCGCAACATGAATAAAGAACATAATCTGTCTATCAGTTAATCATGTGAAGCATGAATAGAGAACAAAGTGTCTACACGTTAATCATGTGCAGCATGAATAAAGAACATAAATACTGATAATAATACCTTACTGGCTAACTGATGTAGTATTACATTACAGTAAAACTGATAATACCTTACTGGTTAACTGATGTGGTATTACATTACAGTAAATACTGATAATAATACCTCACTGGCTAACTGATGTGGTATTACATTACAGTAAAACTGATAATAATACCTTACTGGCTAACTGATGTGGTACTACATTACAGTAAAACTGATAATAATACCTTACTGGCTAACTGATGTGGTACTACATTACAGTAAAACTGATAATAATACCTTACTGGCTAACTGATGTGGTACTACATTACAGTAAAACTGATAATAATACCTTACTGGCTAACTGATGTGGTATCACATTACAGTCAAACTGATAATATTTTTATCAGATAGTTCTTGGCTGGACCTGTATTGGTTTCCAGTAACTAGTGCATAAGATAATTTTCCAAACACTTCTTACAGAAAACCTGTATAAGACCAGTAAAGAATTATCAAAATTAAAGTGGCCAACATTCATGGGCAAATACAACGTGTCTCTGCCACACAATCCCAACATGGCCAATTTTAACACCAGAAAAGTCAAAACTATCTATATCTATATCACTGCTTGGTTTACGTACTCGTGAATAGATCACGAAAACCCCAAATTGAACTTTCCTCACTGAAAAATTGAGCAACTGACAAAAATTCCAAAATTATCTTTCTCTCTCTTTGGGACCTAGAAAAAAGTATCTTTGTACCAAATCCCATGTAAAAACCCTAAAATTATAAGTTTATTTAACCTTTCAACCCCTCTACCCCTAAAATGACCAAAAATAGGCATAACCCACATTTTTTTTATGTTATGTATGGAACCTGTAAAAAAAGTATATATCATCAATTACCTATTTAGAAGATTATAAATAATGTTTCTCAAAGAAACAAACCTACCCACTCTCTGCTTACATTTCTTTATAACATTTTGTTTTTCTCGTCACCTTTAACTATGACCAGACCAAGCTTCTAAACACATCAAATTGTTAATATGAAGCTGACTAGTCAACAAATAGTAAGGAATACAAGTTTACCGATAGTGGTAATTACGCATCATTAACCATTGTTACAACAAAAACAAATGCCATGTATTTACTATAAACCCTGTATTGATTTAAAAACAAATAAGATGCAAAATAACAGATTTAACAAAAATTTATGTTTCATAAAATTCAAGCTAAGTAAGTGGGATGTTTCGAGCTTTTACTTTTACAAATGAACAGAAACTTGGACCTCACAATAAGCCTCAGTTGAGCCCAGTAACTTATATCTTGTACACGTGTAGAACGTTTGAGTTTTGAGCATGTCATCACGTCTTTACACAAGATTTATGATGTTGTACTTACATTACTCTGAATCTTTGTATTCTCTGCAAGCCGTCTTATTTCTGGAGTATCAGCTACAGCGGTATGCTTTGCTTGAGGACAGTGACTGGAAAAACAACCATGGTAAGTTTAATGCACAAACTAACAAAGAAAATTTTACATATGATTTTATCTGTTTTGGTTTTCATTAAATTTAGTTTTAAAAGCGTACAAATTTGTGGAAGAGTGCTTTAACAAACAGACTTACTCCGTGGTCAATGAATTACTCCAAACAAAGGTAGTTACTTATTAAGTACTCCTAAAGTATTGTTGTCCTTCAGTGGACACAAATGATTTGGATATTATATTTAGTTGTAATTAAAGGTGTGGTTTACGTAACAAATTTTATGCTACTCCCTAGAATTTAGAAATGTCAGTGTTCAAAACTATCGATAAGCTCATAATGTTATCTGTAAAAGGACCCATACGAAAAAAATACTACAGTTACAAAGGGTTCAGCTGAAGATTTAACAAATACATGACAAGAGTTGATAGCCTGTAAGTACATTCTAGATGGAGAAAACACATAAAATAAAATAAAAATTGATTTATTACATTTAAAGAACTCCGATAAATTAGTCACTCAAAAAGAGAATAAATACTATAGGGACCAACCAAGTATAGAAATTGTTAAGAATGATTAATTCATGATGCATATAATGACTAGCTAAATTATAGATAATACACTCAAGTGTTTAGAATATTTCCATGTTTCTATGAAACAGCCCATTTCACCAGAAGAGTGAGAAGGTCACAATTACCCTGACAGAAGGGACTACGTGTACATTTTCCTACACTGAAGGAAGGTTTAATTATAAGTTACCACCCTAATGGGAGCTCTATGTTAGTGCACGTTTCAACTGGAGAAGGGCTGCTTATTTAGCAATGGTCCCTCTGTCTTGTAAAATGTTCAACACCGAATGCGAAGGCGTAACGAGTTATTCTAATGGATGTAATTGAGTAGTTAAGTGGGTTTATCAAGGTCTTTGCTGCACATGGCTAACAAAGGTTTTAGGGAACCTGCTAACTGAAACTATGTGGTAACAAAACAAACTGTATTGACATTATACTTTCTTCAAACAGTAATCTTAGTGCAGACAGTTTGGGGGAGTAAAGTAATCCTTATCCTAAATATCCCAGTTGTAAATTAATTAAATAAAATTTGTGATAATTACAATTCACTTAAGTTAATTCACACTATAACAGTCACTGGTCACGAAAATTGATGATATAAATAGCGCCTAGACCATTTCTATGTCAGTTGTATATTCTAGCCGATCTGATGAGCCATGGTATTGAGTGAAAGGCCTCGTCGGCACTGGATATGGAAGATGTAGTGCGGTTGATATTATTATTTACTTTCACTCATAAGTTCTTAGGATTAGTAATCAATGCAAACTTGCAGATCACAGTAAACTTACAAAACACTCGCTATTTTTTCAAGACAACATATTACCATAAAAACTGGTCATTAATGAAGTTACTAGTTAATAAATGCATTCTGGAAATCAAGTACTTAGCATACCGTAATATAAATGATTTACCACGATTTGTTGAACACGTGTAAAGTAATGATTACTGTAAAATTACTAAAAACTCAAACGATAAGTTTTTCTCTCTTTAAAAAAAAACATCACATCCACGTGTTTATATGCACTACTATATTTATCTAAACCATTACTCGACAAGTCTCTACGTGTGTTGTGTGCTTATAACGTGCGAACTGCTAAATCGATTGTCACCAAAACCTTAAAACTCCTCTACGTCTTTCCCGTGCGTTAAGCGGGTAGAACAACTAGTTAACTTATATTATAATCAGCAAAATCTCGTCTTTGTAAATTTACGAGATCTATAAATCACTCTCATCATTTATTTATTTTTACCAGATTGAATGATGTCGTCAATATTTATATTTAAACATGGTAGTTTTATAATGTCATTGTATTAGCCTAATGTCATTTTAAGTGTTGGGACAAGTTGTTAGGTGCTGAATGAACTCTTTCAATTTAAAAAACATGTATAATTCAAAACAAAATAGCTGTGAATTTCATTCAGATGGTACTTGTTTCCACCTCGTTCACCTCACTGTCCTAAGGAATGTTGTCGTAGTTAGCTGTTTAACCGCTAGTGGAATATTATACATATACAAGTGGCGCCGCGATCGCCACTGTTTTGATAGCGGTAAATATTCGCTGTACAACGTGCTATTTCGCCCGCTGTTTTCACACTCGTCACAAAAATGTCCACTAGATTACGTTAATTTCGTCATATAAAATATAGTATGTTGTAACGCAATGTTTGTAGCGAAACTCTTTTACGGCAAAGAGCCATTTGTAGAACATCAAAAGCACAAAAAGTAGCTCAAAATAATACTACATTTTCAAAGCGCGCGTTAAATAAGTGGTCCTCAAACATGAGAAACTATCAGTAATCTTATTGCCTTTGTAATAATAATAATACGAAGCACAATGCCATATTATAGTTTCTCTGAATTATATTTCGACTCAATGATATTATCTTACAGATTACGTTATCGGATATTTCGGGTAGCCTAGGAAGCAACTAAATATTGTCAAAGAACCATAAAAAGCCAGTAATCATCCCAGTGGATTATCAACCCCGGCACGTTTCCAATTACTGTACGGTATGCTGTAGTTAGACCACTTCACCAGGGGTCATAAAAGTTGATACTCGGTTGAAAAGTAAAATAACTACATACAAAAGCAACTCGAATTTCTCCCGCAACATGAAAATAAACAATTCAAAGCATCTTACGTTAATATTACTCAAGTACACCCACACATTTCTTCACGAAGAAAACTTTAGAACGGTTATTACGTCACTGCAGAGTAGCTGTAATCTGTCAGACAGGAGGAGGAGAAAGTTATTCTAGGTCAGGGGTCAGCAACCTTTCATAGAGTAAGAGCCTTTTTGGAGACAGCTACAAATTCTGGGAGCAGCAATATACGCTCCTTTAGTAGGCCTAGCTGCTCAGCGTCTGCGTACTGATACCGATACCAAGACTGACGTGAAAGAAAAGCCAATCAAAGAATACGATGCTATTAACCCTTCTTTCTCAAACTTTAAACGAACATTTTTTGCAAGCAGTTTACAGGAAACAAACGTGTGTGCACTCACAAAACTCCATGTTCACATGATTCTATACCACAAAAGTTGCGGTGTTTCGTAATTCTCTGTTTATATAAAAACATTTTATTTCTTTTATAAGATTACTCAATACGTAATGAGTTGACGCTGAAAGCTGAAGACGCTAAAGTTTATTACTAATATAATATACACATTTGCTTTTTGGTCCCACGGCTTCACTGCAGAACTTTTAAGAGTCAAATCCTAAATACAGCATGGTTAACACGTTGACTTATCAGAATAAGGACGTAGAAATTGCATGTTTAAATTAATATTTACTCTCATATTATTTGGAACGCATTTATGATATGATACTTCCGTTGACTTATTTAAAATGTAAGACTTATGTAGGTTACGTTAAATATTATATTTTCATCTGGTTTAATTCGAGATCAAGTGAAAACCGGTTCTAACATGTTTACTTACGTTGTCCTGGTTTCTTGTTCTAATACGTCAGGGCATAATAATATTCATTTATTATTATTTTACACTTTTTGCTACTTTTTACTTATAACTAGATGCTAATTAGTTAGGATCTAGTTATAAATTATAATATACAATAACAATAAAATATGAAATAAAAATAGTTACTAGTTCATAATTAGATTTAAATTATTGTTTAAAGCTATTTTGACAATGACTTCGGAATAGAGAGAAAGTTGAGTATGTTATATTAAATGATTTTGAATATTCAAATCAGTAAGTCACGTAACAAGCAGCCGATATGAAGTCGTGGTGGAACTGAATGTATCAGAATTACATTCAGACATTGTTTGGCATTACACAGATCGCTTTTGGGAAGGATATCTAACAGTTTTTTCCAACGCAAAATATTCACATACTCAGACAATACTGTGTGTTCATATCGGGGATGTAAAAATTTTCCAAGATGAGGATATCCATTTACTTAATGGTATTGGAAAACAAAGGAACGTGGACCAACTTGGGGCACCAAGACTATCCAGAAAGAGACCTGCAACAAGTCATACCTCGGCTGTGGTAAGCAAAGTCCAAAAGAAAGTCTTGTAACAAGTGAGAATCTACGAACACACAAGTTAGTAGCAAAAGCCATTCAAGAGCCCCCATGTAACTGTACGCAAAATAATCAAGAAGGATTTCCGTCTGGAAAAGCAAAACAAGTCACGTGTATACAAGGTTCTTCGACGACATATCTGTTCAATTGTCGCATACCTGAAGCAACTGGCGAATGAAATGGGTGTTCGTGCTTTTCCATACAAAGACATACCTGTCAAATTGCCGGACGCAGCACCTATGGATTTCAGTGTGATAGAAGTGTCGAAATGGGAGATGGGAAACCGTCGTCCTCGTACATCAGATGGATAATGGAAAGGGGTTTGCTTCGGACATGACAGCCTCACGAGGGAACTTTGTACAATGAGAACTATACGCTACAGGGCTACTGTCAACATGCATAGTCGTCAAAAACAGCATGAGTGAACGTGACGACATGGACTGTAAGGATGTTACAAAACTCCAAAATCATCTTAATATAATGTAGTCAACCTCTGTATATAATTAAAGCAATAGTAATGTAGTTTTGTATTGGACTTTCACTTGAATTCTTTCATGATTAATTGATAACCCACAAAACTATTTTTTTTGTGCTTTTTCTCAGGTAAGTAAAATGGTAATTAGATATATATACACACACGCACACACAAAAAAATATTATTTCACTCTCATACATTGTTCTGGAATTTACTGAAAATGAGTTAGTCAAGTTTAATCCGTTGTCACGTTAGTAACTTATACGATTACCAAAGTCCAGTTACTGAATAGTCACATTTTCATTTTTTATTACTAAATAATAATTAGTAATTATATCACTTGTATTAATGTTAAAATGAAATAAAATTGCGATATCATCTGTTTTTTTTTTTAACATTTGTCATTTTTTAT